CTAAAATAATATTTTTTGAAATTATAAAACTAAAAAGACCGGTTTTAAATTTGAGGGATTAAAAATAAATTTACCTTAAACGTAAGAAACTAAAAATATATTTAAGCCTTTTAATTTTAATCTTTTTAATTCTAATTATTTTTTAATCCTCGTAATTTTAATTATTTTTGTTTTAATCCCCCCAACTTTTAGTTATTTTTATTTTGGTTCTTATAATTTTCTTTTTTTATTTATTTTTGTCTTTGTAATTTTTTTGACTTTTTTCATTAGATTTAATTGTTAATTGATGACAAAGATGAAAATGAAACAATTTTTTTTTACAATGACTAAAATTAAATTGTTTTTAAAGAGACTAAAATAAAAAATACTCTATTTTACATGGATTAAAAAGTTATTTTAGTTTTAAATTAATTAAAATTAAAATAATTAATCTAACATATAACTTTAAATGAATAGTTTGATTATTTTATATCATATTTTACTTTTTTAAGCATATGATTAAAAATTGAATTCTACCTAAATAACTAAATAAAATACTTAATTTTTTTACATTAAGATAAAAATATTATACAAGAAGCTAATCCAACATGAAATTACAAGAAAAATTACAGATCATTTAAATAATATTATTATATAATCATCATTTGTCAACTTTTATTATATATTAAATACAAATATCTATCTTACAAGAGGGTTTTTAGGATCTTTTCTTCAACAAGAAAGTTTGTAAAAAAAATTTTAACTTCTTATCTAATTTACTTTTTGTTTATCATAATTATTTATAAACTAAGTATTAATGTTTTAAAATAAATTTTAAATAACTATAAATAAATTTTTGTTATAATATAAATTATTTATCATAAATCCAAAATATAATTTATATGTTTAAAAATATTTATGCATATTAATTTTAAATATAATATATATATATATGTATATTAAAGATAATATTCATTTATATATAATTTATTATAAATTTAATTATATTATATATAATAAACATGCCTTTTCACTACACAAATTAAAACATTAATTTCTTTGTATTTATCAATAATTTTTTTTAATCAATCTCTATATATTAAACATTAGTCTATATTTTGCACGAGAGTGTTTTTAGAGACTTTCATTTAAAGTATGAATTTTTTAACTTCTTATCTAATTTAATTTTTATTTATCATAGTTATTTATAAAATAAATAATAATATTTTTAAAATAAATTATCAATAATTATAAATAAATTTTTTTTACAATACAAATTATTTATCATAAATTTAAAATATAATTTATATGTTTAAAAATATTTATGTATACTAATTTGAAATATACGTATTTATATATGTATTAAAATATAATATTTATTTATAT